ACTGTGTGACGGGATACACACCATCGCTCCTAGGTGCGAACTTCACCCACTGTGTGACGGGATACACACCATCACTCCTAGGTGCGAACTTCACCCACTGTGTGACGGGATACACACCATCACTCCTAGGTGCGAACTTCACCCACTGTGTGACGGGATACATACCATCACTCCTAGGTGCGAACTTCACCCACTGTGTGTTCAGAGGCCTTCTAAACATATTAAATATACTTTCTTTTTCGTTTATTTTAAGCATTTTTCACCCTGTTTCGTCTCTGGATATTAACCATGACAGTGTGTGAGGACAGAAAGCCTGCACAATTATTTATTTGGTTCTGTTTGGTTCCATTAGTTTAAAGTGTGCAGTAGGCTACAAAACATTCAGTGGGGAGAGAGAGTGCCTCTTCCTGATCATGTTGCCACTGGGAATTTCCCTGAGCAGTTGGAGGAAATTAGGAGGACAAGTGTTTCCCGACGCGGGTCTTAGTTAAGTGATGACCCGCCACTGGAGCTTTTGGCCATATGAGTGAGGCCTTCCACTGGCTTAGCAGTCCACATCTTTAAAATTTAATTTTAATCTTTTTTTTTTTTTTAGTCGGAGGGCGACTACAGGTCTGAGAAAATGTTTCATGCTGACGAAACAGGTATATTTGGGAGGAAGTTGCATCTGGATTTAAAGCAGAAAATAATTGTTTTTACTTGCTTCTGTGTGTTAAATGCATCAGGTGATTTTGAGTGCAAGTCTTTCCTTATTATTCACTCCCACAATCCCACTAGAGCACTGTGCCTGATGTATAACAGTTTAACCAGACATCATGGATGAGCGAAGCTTTGTTTACTGAGTGGTTCAAACATTATTTTATTCCCTCGGTTCATGTGCACCAGCCCAATACCAACCTTCCAGTTATAAATTTCTCCTCACTTTTGATAATTACTGTTGTTATCCTTAAGTCTCGCTGGATGTGGACTTAAATGTGAAGGCAGTGTTTGAACTACCAAATATAAGAACATAAGAAGAACATAAGAACGAAGGAACACTGCAGAAGGCCTACTGGCCCATGCGAGGCAGGTCCAAGTCCCTACCGGCTTAAGCCAATGCACCCAACCTAGTCAGGTCAGGTCACATTGAGTTAAGGGAGGAACACGGCAACCGACCTGTTAGCACAAGCTATCAGGTCTAACTCACACCCACCCACATCTACTCATGTATTTATCCAACCTATTTTTAAAGCTACACAACGTTCTGGCCTCTATAACGGTACTTGGGAGTTTGTTCCACTCATCCACAACTCTATTACCAAACCAGTACTTTCCTATATCCCTCCTGAATCTGAATTTTTCCAACTTAAAACCATTGCTGCGAGTCCTGTCTAGGCTAGATATTTTCAGCACACTATTTACATCCCCTTTATTTATTCCTGTCTTCCACTTATAAACCTCAATCATATCCCCCCTGATTCTACGTCTTTCTAGAGAGTGCAGTTTCAGGGCCCTTAGTCTATCCTCATAGGGAAGGTTTCTGATACATGGGATCATCTTTGTCATCCTCCTTTGTACATTTTCCAGAGAATTTATATCCATTCTGTAATACGGTGACCAAAACTGTGCAGCATAATCTAAATGAGGCCTAACCAAGGATGTATAGAGTTGAAGAACAACCTGAGGACTCCTATTATTTATGATTCTTGATATGAAGCCAAGGATTCTATTAGCTTTATTGCGAACACTTATGCACTGTTGTCTTGGTTTCAGATTACTGCTAACCAGAACTCCTAAATCTTTTTCGCAATCCGTAATATTAAGATCTACATTATTTAGTTTATATGTGGCATGGTTATTGTCCTGTCCAACATTTAGAACTTTGCATTTGTCTATATTAAACTGCATCTGCCACTTCTCCGACCACTGCATCAGTCTATTCAAATCTTCCTGGAGTGCTCGAATGTCCTCGTCAGAATGAATTCGACGGCCTATTTTGGTGTCATCGGCAAACTTGCCGATGTCGCTCTTTATGCCCTCATCTATGTCGTTTATGTAGATTGTGAACAGCAGGGGGCCCAACACTGACCCCTGTGGAACACCGCTCGTGACGCTTCCCCACTCTGATTTCTCCCCATTTATGCAAACTCTCTGCTGCCTATTTGTCAACCATGCCTCTATCCAGGAAAAAATTTCTCCTCCTATTCCATGTGCTTTAATTTTCCTCAATAGTCTCTGATGTGGGACCCTGTCAAAAGCCTTACTGAAGTCCATATACACAATATCATATTCATTACCATGATCTACCTCCTCAAATACCTTAGTGAAAAAAGTTAATAAATTCGTAAGGCAGGAACGCCCCTTTGTAAAACCATGCTGAGATTCGTTGATTAATTTATGCTTTTCAAGGTGGCTACGAACTGCCTCGGCAATTATTGATTCCATAAATTTTCCCACTATGGAGGTTAGGCTTATTGGTCTATAGTTCGAAGCTAAGGACCTGTCACCTGTTTTGAAAATAGGTATCACATTTGCCATTTTCCACTTATCTGGCACCATGCCAGTTTGTAGTGATATGTTGAAAAGATTAGCCAAAGGTGTGCTAAGCTCCTCTTTACATTCCTTTAGAACCCTTGCATACAGTTCATCAGGGCCTGGGGATTTGTTAGGTTTTAATTTATCTATTTGCCTAAGGACCATGTCACTTGTGACCCTAATCGTGCACAGTTTATTATCGTCCTGTTCTACATAATTTATCATTACTGGAATATCGCTGGTATCCTCCTGTGTAAAAACTGAGAGGAAGTATGTGTTAAAAATTCTACACATTTCCTTATCACTGTCAGTGAGCTGACCCGAGGAACTTTTGAGTGGGCCTATCTTGTCCCTGATCTTACTTCTGTATACCTGAAAGAATCCTTTTGGGTTAGTCTTCGATTCTCTTGCAACTTTAACCTCATAATCTCTTTTTGCTTTTCTAATTCCCTTTTTTATTTCTCTCTTTAACTGAATATATCGATTTCTTAATTGCCCCTCTCCTCTTTTGATTTGCCTATATATGCCTCTCTTTTGACAATCAGATATTTTAATCTATTGTTCATCCATTTAGGATCATTTTTGTTTGATCTGATTTCCCTATTTGGAACATAATTTGACTGAGCAGCTAGAACTATGCCCTGGAAAGCATCATATCGGCAACCATCACCACCTACCTGACCCCTAGTCAGGTCATTCCAGTTCAGCCCACCTAAGTAATTTTTCAGTCCTATGAAATCAGCCAAGCGAAAGTCAGGGACGGAGACTTGATTGCCATTATTAGGGGAATTCCATGATATGTTAAAACTGAGTGATTGTGATCACTCTCTCCAAGCTCATCATTAACCTCAAGATTATTAATTAGTGTTTCCCTACTGGCAAGAACCAAGTCAAGGAGGTTATTTCCCCTAGTTGGCTCTGTCACAAACTGTTTTAAAAAACAATCCTGGATCGTATCAAGAAAGTCACCCGACTCTAAATTTCCTGTCAAATTGCTCCAGTCAATCTGTCTATAGTTGAAATCTCCCATTAGCACAACATTTTCGTATGTAGATGCCTTACGAATTTCGTCCCATAGAAGTTTACTGCACTCCCTATCAAGATTTGGGGCCTGTAAATCACACCCAAAATTAGTTTTTCTCGGCCCTCGAGAAGCTGTAACCAAACAGATTCAGTGGCTGACGCTTCTAATTTAATATCTTGTCTAACACAACAATTTAAATTGTCTCTGACATACATCGCTACTCCACCACCTTTCCTGTTGACCCTGTCAGTGTGGAATAATTTATAGCCTTGTATGTGACATTCAGAGGGCATCTCTCTATCTTTCAGATTGAGCCAGGTCTCTGTTATAGCAATAATATCTATGTTTCCTGCACTTGCAATTAATCTTAGCTCATCTATCTTATTTCTAACACTCCTGCTATTAGTATAGTAAACCTTAAGGGAGCTAGTCCCTTGCTGCCCTCTGCTGTCCCCCTTTGTTTGCTGACCTGTTCTATTGTCTTTATTTATAACTTCATGCTGAATGCCTTTTATACATTTAATGTTTCCAACCCTAGTGTTGCAACCTGCTTGTTTCCCACACACACCCATACCTCTATCTTCCATCAGTTTAAAATCATAGGCATTTCACCAATGGCCTTCTCAATCGAGTCTGCAAGTGCTACCACCCCTGCCCCAGAGAGATGAACCCCATCCCTTGCATACATATCATGTTTGCCATAAAAGTTGTTCCAGTTGTCAATGAATGGGATTGCAAGCTCCTTGCAGTATCTGTCTAGCCAGCAATTTACACCAATTGCCCTAGACAACCATTCATTTCCTACTCCCCTTCTAGGCAAGATGCTACATATGATTGGGATCCCTCCCTTAGACTTAATGAAATCTATAGCTGACCTGTACTTATCTAGCAGCTCTTCTCTCCTACCCTTCCCAATATCATTTCCACCAGCACTGAGACAGATAATGGGCTTGTTCCCATTACCTGACATGATATTATCCAGTCTGTTGACAATGTCCCCAACACCAGCTCCAGGGAAGCACACTCTATCTCTCATCTTCTTATTCCTATTACAAAAAGCACGGTCAACATATCTTACCTGAGAGTCACCAACCACAAGAATGCGCTTACCTTCATTAGCAGGGGCAGTAGTACCCTTACCTTCACTGGCCACTGAAGTACATTCATCCTGGAGAACAGAGAAGCGATTTCCTACCTTCAGATCTTCACTCTTAACTTTCCTTACTCTGATGCGCCTCCCATTACTGTGAACAACTCGCCACTTGTAGCAGGTGCTGGGCTGCACCTCACTGCTGGTAGCCGTTGCTACCTCCCCACCTACAGCCTCCTCACAGTGAGAGACAGACTGCACCTCACTGCTAGAAGCCTCATTCCCCACATCTCCAACCACCTCACACTCTCTCCCAGGCCCATTGAGGTGGACCTTCAGCCTCCTAATCTCCTCCTGGAGAAGCAAGACCTCCTCCTTCAACTCTCCAACCTCAGTTTTTAAAACACTGCAGAAGCAAGCCATGCTTTGTAACCGTCCACGCTAATCCCCAAAGCAGCTCAGGGTCTGTGACCTCACGTGACGACTGACCACTGAACACCAAATATGACATCTTTGATGCAACCACTGGATCGAGGAGTGATTAAGACATCTATGTGCGGCTACACATGCAGGATGGTGCAGAAACTCCTCACATAAATGGATGATAACTAGTTCAGACCAACATCCACAGCCATTCAGCTCGGCCCAGTAGAGCCATAACAACCCTCTCCACTCAACTCAAGGTCAACATCCATCACCAACCAGAATTGAAGATACAAAAAGTAAAATAGATTTATGCAGCTTTTATAGCTACACGTACAGTCGCAGTCTTAGACTTTATTGGATTATCCTAAGTTAAATCTTCACACAGTACTTCCTTTGTGTTCATAACTCCCTTCACACAGTACTTCCTGTGTTCATAACTCCCTTCACACAGTACTTCCTGTGTTCATAACTCCCTTCACACAGTACTTCCTGTGTTCATAACTCCCTTCACACAGTACTTCCTGTGTTCATAACTCCCTTCACACACTTCTAGATCAACAAGTAATGTCATTTAAATTGTAAGACATCGAAAATTTTAATTTTTGATAAAATAAGAAATTAAAATAAGAGTTTTGGTTTTTGAGGATGACATGAACACAGCCCCAGTTTTTCCGTAAGTTATTAACACCGTAACTTGCGATTTCTTAAGTAGTGGATATTTCAGGAACTTAATCCGCACGAATAAATTATGAGAGTGTGCTGTATCACGTATTGTAACCTCCGGTTTATAACATATCCTTTATAATTAACAAGGCCACTGATTAAGGCCAAGGGACTACTGTCTTAAGAGCTGTCTTGTAGAACACCATAACACTAAGTGATGGAAATAACTAAATAATGAATAACTTAAACATACTGAACAATAAACATGTAAGTTCATGGTGTCTTAACCCTGACAGGTAGGCTGCACGAACATTTATATCATTCATTTAATTAACGTTATTATGTTTGAATGCCTGGTGCCTGTACCAGGTTATACTTGACAACATGCACTTACTAATAAAGAAAACTAGCAAACCCAGCTTTATTTCCCTGAAAAATATAACCCGCACCAGAGACTGCCCTCATCACCTACCCCTGCTGAGTTTTGCTCTTAACATTATGACATATGTCAGTAAAGCTTTGGTACCAAGTAAGTTAACCAGTAATAAATCTACCTTAGGTTGTCTTGCTACAAACATTCTCACATAGATACAATAAAACGAGATAAAGGTACATTATATTTTGGCATCACACTGAGGCTTCCCTCAGTAGTCAGTAAAGCTGTCAGTGGCGGCTTAAAAAGTAGAGTGCTCTCTTTGTCGTCACTGAGTTTCTTCAGTTGTATGTCGTTTGGATAGACTGTCTCATCCAGATGAGTGCCGGTGGGTTGAGTACAGTGGGTTGAAGGATCAATCATTCTACCAGCGCCTCCGTTGTGTTGTCCACTTGTCTCGTCTGGATGAGTGTCGGTGGGTTGAATACAGTGGGTTGAAGGACCAATCATTCTGCTAGAACCTCTGTTGTGTCTTCCACTTTGCCAAAGTTGTCGTTGAGAGAATAGAAAGAAGCTGCCAGCGAGCAGTCCACGTTGATGGCGTAGTCGCACACGAAGTATTCCTGCCACAACAAAAGATGATTTTAATAATTATATAACCAACAAGAACCCCCCCCCCAACGTACTGTCAATACTCTTACCTGCTCCTACGAAATCATAATTCTCCTTGCCCAATGCATTAGCTCTCAGACGCAGTTGAAGACGCAGTCACTTGTGGGTGGGGCCCACTAGCATGTGTAACACCTTAATATCGATCATATGAACTCCGACAAGTGTGATGCGAGTGTATGAACGTCCTACTTGGGAAGTCCCCTGCCCACATGTAACCATGTCTTCAACTGCTGCATATCATCACTTCTTCTAGTGGCTCCTCATCCCTCTGTATTAGAGTAATAAAGGTCTCTAATGAAGATATGACGGTGTTGCTTGTGAGTCATTACTTCTCAGTAGAGAGAATATATTACTTGATCTAATACTAAAACTTAACTTAATACACAGTCATGCGCCAGCAAGATGGTGCATGACAGTGTCGACAAGTTGATGTGTGATGATGAGTCAAGTTGCATGACGGTGAGTCAACAAGCTGGTGCATGACTGTGAGTTAACAAGTTGATGTATGACCGTGAGTCAACAGATTGATGTATGACTGAGTCAGCATGTTGATGTACGAGTCAACAAGTTGGTGTATGACTGTGAGTCAAAAAGTTGATGTATGAGTCAACAAATTGATGTATGAGTCAGCAAGTTGATGTATGAGTCAACAAGTTGATGTATGAATAAGCCAATAAGTTGATGTATGAGTCAACAAGTTGATGTATGAATAAGCCAGTAAGTTGATGTATGAGTCAACAAGTTGATGTATGAGTCAACAAGTTGATGTATGAGTGAGTCAACTAGTTGATGTATGAGTCAACAAGTTGATGTATAAGTCAACAAGTTGATGTATGAATCAACAAGTTGATGTATAAGACAACAAGTTAATGTGTGAGTCAACAAGTTGATGTCCTAAGCTCTAGGAGTTAGCGTGGGCACCAAGCACCATGGCTTGTTGTAGTGTTTTAGAATCTCAGGTTCAAGTGTTGAAGAAGGAGGTTCTACTTCTTCAGGAGGAAAATAGGAGGCTGAAGATTTGCCTAGATGTGTTTGAGAGTGAGTGTGAGAAGGATTTAGCTGGTAAGGAGGAAATAGTCACTAGCAGTGATAGCGGCAGCCGCTTTAAGTGGCAAGTGGTTCACAGTTCAGGAAGAAGGAAGATAAGAAGGGTTAACAGAGAAGATGTGAAGGTAGGAAATCGATTTTCTGTTCTCCAAGACAAGTGTACTTCAGTGTTTAGTGAGGTTGAAGGTACCACTGATTCCCCTGCTAATCAAGTTAAGAATATTGTAATAGTAGGAGATTCTCAGGTAAGATATATGGACCGTGCATTTTGTAACAGAGACAGAAAGGTCAGACAGAGGGTGTGCCTTCCTGGAGCTGGTGTTGGTGACATAGTCAGCAGGTTGGATAATATGTCAGGTAATGGGAACAAGCCCATTATCTGTCTTAGTGCTGGGGGTAATGTCATTGGGAAGGGCAGGAGAGAGGAGCTGCTGGATAAATACAGGTCAGCCATAGAAGTATTTAGGTCTAAGGGAGGGATCCAAGTCATATGTAGCATCTTGCCTAGAAAGGGAGTGGGCAATGAATGGATGTCTAGGGCAACTGGTATAAATTGCTGGCTAGACAGATACAGCAAGGAACTTGCAATCCCACTCATTGATAACTAGGATATATTCTTTGGCAAACGTGATATGTATGCAAGGGATGGGGTTCATCTCTCTGGGGATGGAGTGGTTGCATTAGCCAATTTGATTGAGAAGGTAATTGATGACTTGTCTAGGAATTTAAACTGATAGATTATAGAGGTATGGGTGTTTGTGGGAAACAATCAGGCTGCAGTATTAGGGTTAAAAACAGCAGTTATTACCGGGATACCTCAGGGATATGTTTAAAAGACAATATTCAAAATAAAGTTGCAAGTAATGACAAATCAACTGATCAACAAACAAAGAGAGATAGTAGAGGGCAACGAGTGACTAGCTCACTTAAAGTTTACTAAACAAATAGTAGGAGTCTAAGAAATAAGATAGATGAGCTAAGATTACTTGCAAGTGTAGGTAATATAGATATTATTGGTATAACAGAAAGATAGATAGAGAAATGCCTTCTGAATGCAACATACAGGGTTATAAACTATTTCACACTGATAGGGTCAACTGTGACCCCATGTTTCTGTGTACCATCTCTGGAACATCCTGTCTCTGTCCACCTTTTCTATTCCATGTAGTATTTTGTATGTCGTTATCATGTCTCCCTTTACCCTCCTGTCCTCCAGTGTCGTCAGACCGATTTCCCTTAATCTTTCTTCGAAGGACATATCCCTTTGCTCTGGAACCAGCCTTGTTGCAAACTTTTGCACTTTATCTAATTTCTTGACGTGTTTGACAAGGTGTGGGTTCCAAACTGGTGCCGCGTACTCCAGTATGAGCCTGACGTACACAGTGTATAAAGTCTTGAACGCTGCCTTACAGAGGTACCGGAACGCTATTCTCATTTTTGCCAGGCGCTAATATGCCGCAGCAGTTATCTGGTTAATGTGTGCTTCTGGCGACGTACTCGGTATTATACTCACCCCTAGATGTTTCTCCTTCGGTGAGGTTTTCAGTCTTTGGCCGCCTAGCCTATACTCTGTCTGCAGTCTTCTTTGCCCTCCTTCCATCTTCATGACTTTGCATTTGGCGGGGTTAAATTCGAGGAGCCAGTTGCTGGACCACACGTCCAGCCTGTCAAGGTCTCTTTGTACTACGACCTGTCTGGTCCGTATCTAATTTAATTCTCCTCATTAACTTCACATCATCTGCAAACAGGGACACTTCCGAGTCTATCCTTCCCGTCATGTCGTTCACATATACAAAGAATAGCACTGGTCCCAGGATTGACCCCTGTGGGATCCTGCTCATCACAGGCGCCCACTGTGATACCTCTTCACGGACCATGACTCACTGTTGCCTCCCTGTTAGGTATTCTCTGATCCATTGCAGTGCCCTTCCTGTTATATGTGCTTGATCTTCTAGCTTCTGTACTAATCTATTGTGAGGAACTGTGTCAAAGGCCTTCTTGCAGTCCAAGAAAATGTAATCAACCCACTCCTCACACTCATTTCTTATATCAGTTACCTTGTCATAAAACTCTAGTAGGTTTGTGACACAGGATTTGCTTTCCATGAATTCGTGCTGGCTGTCGTTTATAACCTTTTTCCGCTCCAGGTGCTCCACCTCCTGATAATCTTTCCCATGACTTTGCATACTATACACGTCAGTGACACAGGTCTGTAGTTTAGTGACTCGTTTCTGTCTCCTTTCTTAAAGATGGGGACTGCATTTGCCATTTTCCAGTGTGTGTGTCACGGTGTGTGTGTACTCACCTATTTGTAGTTGCATGGGTCGATTCATAGCTCCTGGCCCCGCCTCTTCACTGATTGCTACTAGGCCCTCTCTCTCTCTGCTCTATGAGCTTTATCAAACCTCGTTTTAAAACTATGTATGGTTCCTGCTCACTACTTCACTTTCTAGGCTATTCCACTTCCTGACGACTCTATGACCGAAGAAATACTTCCTAACATCCCTTTGACACATAGGAGTGTTCAACTTCCAATTGTGACTCCTTATTTATGTGTCCCATCTCTGGAACATCCTGTCTTTGTCCACCTTGTCAATTTCTCGCAGTATTTTATATATCGTTATCATGTTTCGCCTGACCCTCCTGTCCTCCAATGTCGTCAGGCCAATTTCTCTTAAACTTTTCTCGTTGGACAATCCCCTTAGCTCTGGGACTAGTCTTGTTGCAAACCTTTGCACTTTCTCTAATTTCTCGATGTGCTTAATCAGGTGTGGATTCTAAACCGGTGCTGTATACTCCATTATGGGCCTGACGTATATGGTGTACAGAGTCTTGAACGATTCCTTACAGAAGTATCAGAACGCTACTTCAGTATGCTGCAGCAGTTATCTAACTGATGTACGCCTCAGGAGACGTGCTCGGTATTATACTCACACCAAGATCTTTTTCCTTGAGCAAGGTTTGCAGTCTTTGGCCACCTAGACTATACTGTGTCTGCGGTCTTCTTTGCCCTTCCCCGATCTTTGCATTTGGCGGGGTTAAATTCAAGGAGTCAATTGCTGGACCAGGTATCCAGCCTGTCCTGGTCTCTTTGTAGTCCTGCCTAATCCTCGACTGGTTTAATTCTCCTCATTAACTTCACATCATCTGCAAACAGGGACAATTCTGAGTCTGTCCCTTCTGTTATGTCATTCACATATACCAAAAACAGCACAGGTCCTAGGACTGACCCCTGTGGAACCCCGCTCATCAGAGGGGCCCACTCTGACACCTCTTCACGTACCATGACTCGTTGTTGCCTCCCTGTCAGATATTCTTTGATCCATTGTGGTGCCTTTCCTGTTATGCATACCTGATCCTCTAGCTTTTGCATTAACCTCTTGTGAGGAACTATGTTGATGGCCTTCTTGCAGTCCAAGAAAATGCAGTCTATCCACCCCTCTCTCTCTCGTGTCTTCTGTTACATTATCGTAAAACTCCAGTAGGTTTATGACACCGGATTTTCCTTCCCTGAAACCGTGCAGGTTGTCGTTTGCAAGTTTGTGTCGTTCTAGGTGCCCCACCACTCTCCTCCTGAAGATCTTTTCCATGACTTTGCATAATATACATGCTAGTGACACAGGTCTGTACTTTAATGCCTCGTGTCTGTCTCCCTTCTTAAAAATTGGAACTACATTTGCCATCTTCCATACCTCAGGTAGTTGCCCATTTTCAATGGATGTGTTGAAGATTTTTGTTAGTAGCACACACAGCATCTCTGCTCCCTCTCTAAGGACCCACAGAGAGATGTTGTCTGGTCCCACCACCTTTGAGGTATCAAGTTCACATAGCAGCTTCTTCACCTTCTCATTGTGTGTATTTCATCCAGCACTCGCTGGTGCACCTCCCTATTCTGAATTCCTGG